CTGAGCTACTGAATATTGAGTATTACTGTCCAGTCAAGAAGCGACCCATAAAAAAGCCCTATTGGTGACAAACAGTGATGATTCTGTGCAGTATAACTACAGCTGCGAGTGTGGAGGTATCTGTGTGCTCCTAATATTAAGAAAGCCCCAGAGGCTTATGGAGAAAGCCACAGTTCGGGAAACGATAGAATTGTAATTTCTAGTCTTGGTGCTGGTGGTGGTTTTCTGCTCTTTTCTCTCTCCCTTATCTTTATGTGGTCTTTTCTATTTATACTGTAAGTTTTCCAACAACTGGAATTATTTCTGGGATGGTACCACGGAATCATTTCTGGATTCCATCAGATTATAACAAACAAAATTCAGTGGGTTTTGGTTTGTTGGCTGTTCACTTTTACTGTGTAACTTATCACCCTTAAGACTGGCCTACCTTATTTCCATTTCAATTTTTGCAAATAAGACATTATAATTCAGTACCGATCTCTGTCTTGAATACATCAGGAGAACCAATCACCTTTATAAATGCATTAATGTTGAATTTCAAGGTCTGTTAAGTCATTATATTCAAATGAAGGCATTTCTAGGGTAATAGCTCAAATAAAACCAAAATGAAAGTTCTCAAAATATGTTTCCAATATCCAGCCCTGTGCAATAAATACTATGCAAGGTGAATGGCTTCTGTCCAAAACTAACATCTCTAATCTTCTGCTAGCCAAAATACACAATACAAAAGTATGCACAGGGTGTGCTTGAAGCTCACGTTTGGGGCAAAGCTCAAAGTTTTCCATTCACCCTTATCAATGGTTGTGCTTGGAAAAAAATAAGGGTAGCTTATAGCACTGTCTGCTGTATTCACTTAGATTGACCACAAACCTACACAACCTTCTGTCAGAAGCAGAGCAAAGGCTGGAGGTCATGGTGCACAGCAAGTCAGGAAGAAGTTATCTGTATTCATTCTCCGTGGCCTTTGCAAGACAGTGAGTTTGGATGACGGATGGAAAAGCTCAGTATTTCATCATGGATTTGAATAAAACTATATGCTTTTTGTTGTCTGATTGTTTTTTAACCTACTTACATGAATTAACTGGTATGCCAACAAACAAACAGTGAATCCTAAGCTATGTCTCACTGCAGACTTGAAGATTGCATGGAACCATATGCAATCCTGGAGCCCAGGCTGTAGGGCTGGTGGGAAACTGACATGATGGTGTTCAGTCAGCCTTTAATCAGTATTATTATAATCATTAGAATCTGATTTTTTTTTTTTCCAAGGTGAAAAAGCATTGCTTTTTCATAAGGAAAATGTTGCCTTGTATTTTTCTGTTTTTCGAGTCTTCTTTTTTAACTCTGATGTTTTCATCACATATTTGGGATTGTTGGTTTGTAGATGACCTAGAAAGAAAAACACTATTTCAACTAAAATTACTTCTCTGGTTGAAACTGTTGCATCCAAAGGGATTTTTTCATAATGCTTTGCTGGGGGAAAAGAAAAAATCAACCTTATTAAACATCATAATAAGATGGACATGGGTTTCTTCCCATATTCATCTCATTCATGAAAAGCAGGTGCTTTCAGTGAGTGTAAGGTGTCACAACTTTTCCATCCAAGTCAGTAGAGGTACCATAGGCTACAAAACGGAGGAATGTTCTAGATGTCTCCATACAGGGACACAGGGCTCATTTGACTCCTGTGCTCTTGAACAGATTTTGGAGAATTAACACAGGGGTTAATTTGGTTCCTGTGCTCTTGAACAGATTTTGGACAAGTCATAATTCAGCATGGAAATATCAGCTCTAAGCATCGTAACAGCAAGATGAAGAGGAATCTGTAGATGTTTTTTTGCCCTCTGGGTTGTCCATCTGCATTAATACACGTGGTTCAAAGTTTTACAGATTAATAGAGCACTACATCTTTATACCCTATAGACAGACCAAGTTCTATCCTCATTTAAGCTGGGAAAGGTTCTCGGCTTGTGTTTATATAAAAAGAGGGAGAGAAGAAAATAATTCCAGTGGGAATATTACAGACTTCAAAAGCAATTTTTTATTAAGAAGAAAGGTGTCTTAATTTGTGTTAGCTAGTGAATTAATCCCAGGGCAAAGAGGGAAAATGGTAATTTCCAAAGAAGTCAAATAGTTTAGTTAAGGATAACAGCAGAACTTAGAGGGTTATCTTGACTAATGACTTATTAAGTCATATAAAAACAACTGGTATTTTAGGTTGTAGCAGCTAATGAGTTAGGAATGCACCTATTTTTCTAATGGGTCTAGGCCACAGAGAGAAGGACCTTTATTCAGTGTAAACTATGCTACTGAGATAAAAGAAAGTAAAATAAAGAAGTTTAGCAGAAATGTACTTATTGGACAGCTGCTGTAAAAGGTAATGGTTAAAGAAAGAAAGAAGGCGTTCATTTGGTGTCAGTTCAGACATTTGCAGAGTTGTCAGAAAACAAATATAGAAAATATTAATTTATCTGTTTCACCATCACTACTGATTAATAGGGATGTTATTAACATATACAACAAGAAAAATAAGTTTACCAGTCGAATAAATACATTTTTTCTTTTTCTTTTTTGATTTTTTTTCTTTATATGAACATGTGTATTTTACAAAACCCCATAGCACTATGGGAAATAAAGATCCTTCTACAAAAAGAAGATGTAAGTCAGTGTTACAATAAAGCTTTAGAGTTTCAAAATGTATCTGGGCAAAGAGACAAAATCAGCTAGAAGGCACTACTGAGTCACTGAGAAGGTCCAGATTGTAACTGTTGTCTTAACCTCCAATTCGTTCATAAATTATCTCTCTTCTCTGTTCCAAGGGATTGCAAGTAATACTAATGTGGTCAGGAAGGCTGCAGTAGATTCAGGAGTAAAGAAGCTATGGCCACGCAGAGAAGAGAAGTTATTGATGGCCATAAAAGGCTGGCTGAAGCTGAGCTTGTAGGCTGAGGCTGGGATGGGCGATCTGAACGTGGTCTCTGATCCAGCTGGTTTGAAATCCAAATGGGAGGTTTGACTGTGATGTAGCCATTGGTTATCCTGACATAGGAAGGCAACGTGGTGGTGCTAAGGGAAAACAGAAGAGAAGGAAATTAAAACTCCGTGAGCTGTCACTCTATGCAGTAGTAACAACAATGACAATCACCATTATTATTATTGTTTGCACACACTAGACATGCAGGGTAAGTGTGATGATCTAGAAACAGCTCTGATTCAGGATGCCCCTCCAGCTTCTGCCTGTTGGTAGAATACAGCCCAAGGAGGAATCACTCTTGATATGTCTAACATATTGCATTCATTTTTCTTAAGCCTTACTGGCCAGCATCAGAGACTGTGATAAACATATCTTTATGCTGACCCAGGATGACATCATTCTTACGTTCTTAGGTACCTTCTTGCCACCAAAGGTCTCAAAATTAGTCAAGTCTCAGAGATGTGTCTGTCTGACCATGAACTGGATGCTACATACAGGAAGGGATACGGAACATGCCCTTTCCCTGTTTCACAAGCCATAAAGAACTTCTCAGAATCCCCTTCCACAACTGATAAGCTTGAGCACAGGAGACAAAGCAGCTTCATTTCTTTTCTCCTGGCTTTAAACCATTTTGAATTAAATCACAATCCCAGAACCAAACTGAATGTGAAGTTTCCCTGTGCATTTGCTTCAACAGTGGTGTGATTGCTTATTGATTGTAGCTTGAGTTAGTACTTTGATTTGAATTTGCAGGTTGGAATTCATCATGATTCCCACGATGCTGCAGGTCAGAAAGGTCCATTTACAATTGATTTGAAAGTTTTAAGTTGTAATCCCCATTTCATAAAATGCTTCCATTGCATCCATTATCGGATGATCCATAATTCACTGGTTGACACAGAGCAGCACAACCAAACATGCAAAATGCACAAGGTGGATTCTGGTTTTAAAAACAAGGCATTCTGCTGTGGAGCAAGGACAGAAAAGACTGGTTCCCCTCAAAACAAGATGTGACACTAATACCTGCAGATTTCCTTGTGTTACTTTATGAATCTTCCATAAAAAGGATTTGGAGGCACTAAAAATGACTGCCAAATAATTTCTTATGGGATAAGAAGCTATGCAGTTTTCTAAATAACTAGCTATGGTATCTGAGATCCTGACCTTGGAAGAAAAGGCTGCATCTTGCCTAGTATCAGATAAAAGGAACAATACCTTGCTCCAGAATCACACACACTAATAGGATTTAGTAGCATTGAAAGCTTTTGGTTTTTTTTTCTGTCTAAGCAATACCAAAGAGGGCTTTTAGCTCAGATGCTTCAAATGTGTTGAGTCAATCACGAAGTGTGAAGATATCTGAGTCCACCCAGAACAGTAAATACTGGTAAATACACACACATGTGGGTCTACATCAAATCCAATAGTCAATCACTGCACATTACACTTCACACTGGGTTTGGGGATAATGAAATTCATTTATTCCCTCAACCTTTATACTGTCAGCACCTCTTCTGGGTGGGATAGTTGTTCTATAGCTAGAAGTGATCTTAACTAATGTGCAACGAGTAAGAGTAAAAAAAACCCAGGCAGCCTTGAATTAAAGACATGGGAATTACTTCATGGGAGTAGATAATCCATCTAACTAGCATTAGAACTCTGACAGTAAGAAGTGGTGCTTGTTCCACAGGAACAAACTGCTGGAAATAGAGAATTCTGAAATCAAGCCTTGCTGGAGAAAGCTCTTATCTAAACTCCTATGGTGAGCTGTTGGTTTATGTCTTGAACTGATGATGCAAGACACATAGCTTTAGAGCTTCTTCTGTACTGCATCAAAACTATTGCAGTCACTTAATACAAAGAGTTGATTTGGGATAAGCTGATGTTGCTGTTTAAAACTGGTCCTGCTTTTTTGAGCAGCTAATTTAGTGCTGTCAAGAATGATACCAGATTAGGCACTCTGTATCCAAGCTCCAGTGGTATATGGATAATAATATTACATTACACTGTAAGTATGAATGGTCTTCCTACAGTTAATACAAAGCATCATTAAAGCATATTTCTAAGAAAACTAGGTACTAAATGCTCTGTGTAATTCAGCAGAAATGCACTAATGCTCCAACTTCGGATCCAGATCCCATTTATCCTGTTGAGTGACGCTGTGGTATACAGACCTGCCAACACTGACTGTGGGATCACAGTTTTGGGGGTTTTCCCCTGTACCAGTTTTCCCTAAGGTAAGCGTGGGTAGGTGCTTGTACTCATCTTTTCGTTACTGTTTGTCATTTTACAGAACTACATCATTTAACCCTAAATTAAATTTTAAACAGCAAGAAGGGTCTGTTTTTCAATGTCAATTTAAAAAACACTTCCAAAATGGTGTTCAGACCTGCAGTTGGTGTATCCTGCTTCTGACATGTTCTCTAGGCTTGATCCTCCAGTGAGATGACTAAACCGGCCTTAGTGCAAACTGCCTTTCTGCACCTAAGGGATGCACTGTGTGAGATGCTCAGTGGGGGACACAAGCTGGGCAGGGAAACTCTGAAAGAATCACGAGCCCATTTATCAGCCAACTGCATCTAAGCACTTCCTAAACCAGCCTTAAATCAACATTTTATACTTCAATATGATGTTTCCATTTTCCAGTCAACTGCTAGAACCTTATTATCATTATTATTTATTACCATTATTATCATTGTTTCTTCCTTGAAAACAGGTACTTTTGGGGGGAACAACCACCCCACTCCCAATTTACTTACAAGACCTGAAAGTCCTGAGAATTTTTGACCACCCTTCTCCTTGGTCAGTGAGGTAATTTTCTGTTTTCAAGACATTTGATTTCTATAAAGGTGTCTTTGTCAAACTGTTAGGTGGGGGTGTTTGTTTTTAAGAAATCCTTAAGCGCTTTTTAAGAGAAGAATAGTGTTTCCATTAACGTGTACAAAGCTTGCTAATAGCAAATGAATCACAATTTATCCATGTAAGACATTTTCTCAAATGCAACTCCACTTCTAGCCAACCGCCAGCGTGGTTTAAATGTGTTTCAAAAGAATGATCCCTTTTACCAAATGCTACAAGACTCCTTGTAAAACCTCTGGTCTAAGTTTGTGACTAGGCTGTTTCTATACTGAATGGGAAGAGAAACCTCTCCAGAAGGTTGTCCACCTCATGCCAGTGCAGGTCTATAGAGGGGACTTACTCTTGCTTAGGGTCCTTATCTTCCTAGGGATTACAGAGACAGCCAGGTTAGATTACAACCTAATCTTAGAGGTGGCTCTGGTGTCAGGAGATAACTTTTCCAAACTCCCTCTGAGCATGTCTGGTTGTGCATATAGGATCTCACTGACCCTCACCCTTTCCTAAGGATGAAAGCAGCAGCAGCCCCCTGAACTCAACTGGAAACCTTCCACTGTCCTCAAGGAAGTTTTGAGCGTTCCTGAAATGAACATAGACAGTAATATAAATCACTCACAGATCTGAGGGATAATAATCTAAATTATTATCACGCCTTCCCTTGCCAGCTCAGGATATTCTGCATTTCAGTCTTTCGTGTCTGATAAAAATATCTTTAACAAAACATTCCACACGATCCGTGGTGAATAGGCAACCACTGGTTCCTCTGTTCATACCTCTCTTTTTTGCTTCTGTGTATGGGATCATTTTAAGAATTTGGAAGGCTCCAGATATCTTTTAGCCAAATGACCTGCGGTATCCTATTCATGAGCTTGTACTTTTGATCAGATTTTCAAATCAGTGCATTAGTCATACATTGTCTTCCTATCATTAGGATGTGTAAAACTTGCCCCAGAAACAGGGCCTCAGGCACAGGCTTTGTCAACAGACCCCACTGAATCCAATTACATGATTCAAGTTCTCTATGCTGGGGGCATGCTGGAGCACCTCCATGATTTGGGAGCACTTTAAAATGGGAAAATAAAACAAACGCACATGCAACCCTTTGGGGGAATTTCTGCTCTGGTTTAGCTTGTGAGGACTTTGCAAGGAGCTCACAAAGTAATTTTTAGCATGACTTGGTTTATTCATATAAGCAAAGCTCATGGTAGAATGGCAGAAGATAGGACCAAGAGGGGCTTTCTGGCACATCTGTCCCAAAGACAGAAGCAAGATCTAAACCTCTCCTCACATTTACATCTAATACAGTCTCAAAGAAACCCTATGTGCACATGATAGCAATTCCAGTCTCTGCAGACATCTATTCCAGCATTTCACCATTCCTGACGTCCAGAATTACTGACTGATGTTTCACCAATCATTTCCCTTGCTATAGCGCAAGCCCGTGACTTCTCCTGTCCCCATGGACAGGGTTATTCCTTTCTTCTTCTCAGCATCCTTCCATATGTTTGAAGACTTAACCATGTTTGACCTCAGTTTTCTCTCCTTTAAATAGTTTCCTCTGCTTTTCTTTGCAAGTCCTCAGGTTCCTTCCCTCATCCTTTCATCTGTTCTCCTCTGGCTCTGCCTAATTCACTGGAGTGAGATAGATGCCCCAAACTGGGAACAGTAGGTCTAGCTGAGATACTGCCAGCCCAATGCTTTGTGCAGTAGGTACAACTGCTTCTTTATTTGCAGAGCAGAAGAAAGTGCACGAAAAACATGCAATCTGAAGGAAGATGGTCTTTTCACCATTCTTTACTTTTGAAGTCCAAACTGCCTTTATGATAAGCTCCTGGAAAACTGATGGTGCTCTGAGGCAGCGAGGATTGACCAAATAATGGTGGTATTTCCATTCGTTTTTAATCTGGCGCCTCGCCTCAGTCCAAACATGGGTTTCTGTTCAGGGAGGAGGAAGTGACCCCTTCAAGCAGAACTTACAAAGTGTTTGGGGATTTTTCTGGATCAAAGGAACTCCATAAACACATGACAACTATTTTTAATAAATGTAAACAAATGTGGACTGAGACAGCCTTTCTCACAATAGCATCTGATGAAAGAAGCTTATCAAGACAACGTGCCAGCAGAGATTGAACCCTGAAAAAACGCATGGTTCAACTGAATGCCTAAAGAGCTAGTAAACCGAAAGAAACCTTTTGAGCAAATACAATAATGGCTGTTTTGCATTTGTGATTTGATGTTAACCTTATGATGGTTAGGGGTTTCTTAAGTGATATTAAGCATATGATTCCTGTTTCTTTTCAAACAAATTTTGCCCTATTTCCCCCCCCCCCCCTTTTATTTAATGAACAGATGTGAGAGGATTTGATCACATTATTATTCTGGTGACCAAAAATAATGTTCTGTTAGTGAAGACAATTATTCCTGGAACTAACCAGACCTATTTATGTCACCAGAATTTATACATCAAGACTTGAAAAATACATCTGCTCTGGGACCAACCCATTGCAGTATGTAAACAAGCTGGCTGGAAACAAGTCTGACCACAGGTATGAGAGCAAAGAATAGGTGCTCCACCAAGAGGAAAAGGAGTATGTTGGGGACAGGGGGGGAATCACACTAGAAACAACTCACAAGGATTTAACCATAAGAGCAATCTCTTACAGGGAATGTGAAGTCTCTACCTCCTGAAATTTTCATGTTATTATTTAATGTGTCCATTACCTAATGGACATATTTATATGAAATAAATATGAATTTTTCAGGTTATTATTTAATATGTCCGTATGGACATCCCATAAAGGTATTTTTTTAGATCAGCATAGGCTCCGTTCCCCCCCAAGCTCCATCTATCTCTCCATCACTGACTTCTTTACGGACACTGTTCTTGCAGCCTGAGGGATAAATCCTGCAGGATGCTGATTCTCTGGGTCTCAAACTAGCAGGATGCTAAGCACTGCAAGCACAAGAGTTCTTCCAGCAAGGCTAGTATTCACATACCTACAACTCAGCAAGTCCTGAAGTCCTTTGTGGGAACAAGGCCAAGAGGCTCATGCTCTCGCAAGGTTCAGTTCATTAAAAAGAAACAATAATCCAACCTGGATCCGATTAAGGAATTCAGTTTTGGACCAGAGGAGGCCACTGCTTATTTGCAGTAGTGTAGTAAACTGCCTTTGCATGTCTGAACAAGTAACCAATATCACACTCTGGTTTGTGGCCAATGGGATGAGCCACGAAAAAGAAGAGCCTTATCTCTACTATTTTCCCTTTACCCCAGGGTTATTGGGAGCCCAGACCTTTGGCCATTTCCCACACTGCAAGCATCCACCCTCTCTGTGAGGCAGCTGCAGCCACGCTATCAATAGAGGGATCAAGTAACCACACCAGGAGCATTTCAACAACCCATCAGTGTTGATCTGAGCTTTCCTTCTGAAGAGATTCAAATCGGAACCATCTTTCCACCTGAGAGGAATGTCAAGCTCTGATCCAGCCTTATTTCAATTCTTCGGTTCTGGAGACTGACAGCAAGCACTTCCCCTCCTTAAAGTGGGCACCAGTGAGCCTCTGACCCCAGTGGAGGGGCAAAGGGCAATGCATGTTTGCAGATACAGGTCTCCTCCTCCAGCCCTGCTCTTTGTTAGGACCATGTCTGCCATGGCTTATCTCCAGGAAAAAGGAGAGGATATTGAAGGAAAAGAGGGGAAGGGAAGCACAAATTTCACCAGGCATTGGCTCTGAAAGGGCAGAAAGCTGTAAACTATCATGCCAGGACCCTCAACCACACTTTCACTGTGTACTGAAGTGCAGGAAGGGTGGTGGTGGTGAGCAGGGCACTGCACACAAGGATGGAATGCCTGGGGGGTTGAAGGGAAGTGATGTGAGGCACCTTCACCTCCTGAACATGCAGGACCCAGGCTGTCAGCAGCACCTGCAGAGAATGCCATCAGAGAGTCAAGGGCAGTCCTTCCGATGCCCTGGTTTTTAGCAGGATTTAAAGGATGAGATCACTGTAGCTATGTCAGATGCAGGCTTGTAGTCGGAGCTATTCCGTTGTGTTCACGAGGAACAAAACATCTCCATAGGACAATCCTTTCCCTCCAAAGGCATGTCTCTAAGGTGGGTGAGATTAGCTGCTTCTGAAGATCTCTATCTCTGGAATTCAGGTCTCCTGAACCCCAGCCAAGCTCTTGCCCCGGTGAGAGCTTTGACTGGTAAGGACTGGTTCCTAAATTGGGACAGGGCCACAGGGTGGGGAAGAGAAAAACTGATGATTCTGCAAGGAGAAAAAGCAGTAGCTGGTGGGGAAGCAGCTCCCCACTATGATAGTATAGTAGCCTCCCAGCCACGGGCATGGCAGGACAGCAGCCTGCTGTCCGCTGTTTGGGGTCTTGGCTATGAGTGACATGAAGGAGCAGAAGGTGGCTCACTTGGATCAGGGTCTTGAGGGGGGCCATAATGGTGTAAGCAAGAGGAGGTTCAACACTGAAATGCAGCTGGGAGATTTGATTTTCATCCCTGTGTCACCCACCAAGCAACCATCAAAACCGTGTTAAATCACTTCTATCACTCCCCTGACTCTGATTTGAGTCAAGACCCTGAAGCGTTAGCGTGACACCAGCAGCATTAACCCAAAGTGAAGTGTTTTGCAGGCTCTCGTTGTGATTTGCAGCTCCCGATTGCCTGGGCCACCTGCAAAATACCTCCATGATGTCAAATTCAGCCCTCGGTGACACCAGCCTGCAGTGAGGCTGAGCACTACAGGAACATCCCAAAGGCACGCTGTTATGGCAAAGCTTGTTATTTGCTGTGGGGCCAGAGGAAGAAATGGGGATGGGATGGAAGGGAAGGTATGGGATGGAGGAAATGGAGACTGCTGCATCAGAGACAGGGGTAAGAGCAGCAGTTTGCTGTCACAGCAATGCAGCCTGAAGGTCCCCCAGACATGGGGATACAATGACGTGAAGGTGGACATGAGAATGCATCTAGCAGGTAGGGAAGGAGCAGGTGAGAAACAACTCCAGCAGAGCCCAAGGGCCCTTTTCTCAAGTGAAATTCCAGCATGCAGGAATGTTTCCTGCACATCACGGTCAGGCGTAGCTTTCCCCCATCCCCAGGGGAGGCTGTGTATGGCCCTTTTCTGCCTCCTGCCCTGAAGTCCTTCAGGAAACCTTGCAAACACAAGTCCTGCACCCAAACATGTGGCAGTGGCAGAATCAGGCCCTCCACTACTTTCCAGACAACTGCAGAACGGTGTAAAAACACAGAGCGTTGTAAAAACCAATAACCTTTGAAGCACACCCTCTGAGTAATTACCCCATTCCCATTTAATGACTTAAAGATGTTATATTCCTCTCTGATTTGGCAACAACAAAGATTTCGACCTTATTAAAACCAGCCCATCAGGAAACTACATGTCATCCTTTTAAAAAAGGAAAAAAAAGAGGGAAAAAAAAAAAATCTTTCAAATCCCTGTGAACAGTAATTCAAGATACTGTAGCTGAAGACCCATGATTTGTTGCAGAGTGTCTGGGTGGTCCTGAGGCAGGAGATGACAACATTAGCTCTTTCCTTTGCCCTTCTAAGAAATGCTTTGATGATTCTCTAATATCCTAAGAATATCCCCCTGCGATTCTGCACTGGGACGAGGCAATCACAGAGCCGGGATAATGCATCCCAGTTTTACCCAGGGCCTGGCCCTTGCTAGGATGGGATAGCTCAGAGCCCTTTGCTTCACCAGTTCTGCACTGACATCTGAGCCAGGATGTGTCCATGATAGTCTAAATAGTGATGTGGGCTCTAAAACATCCACAAACCCCCTACCCACCGCACACATCTGGCTGTGTACCTGATTTGTATGTGCAATTAAGGCACTCATCATCACGGCTCAAGTAACCAAGTGCTTGTTTCACTGCTCCTTGGACAGATAATGATTGCAGTTCTTACAGCCAAAGTAAGCAAGAACATCAAGGGTGCATACACAGATGGGCTTTGGATTGTAAAAGTCTTGCCAGCGATGCAAGATGTGAAGATTTTTGAGTAACCTGTTGATATACAACATGTAAAGAGTTCACTTGATGGTGCTGCAATCAGGTGGTTTTGAACCAGATCCCAAGCATGAGCAGAATATCTACCTTTTATCTGTATTATGCAAACAGTCTGCTCTCCCCAGTACAGCCCCACATGCAAAACGATTCGCGTTTTTGGAGTGGTCAAAATTGTAACCCATATTTTATGTCTTGGGCTCAACCTTTTGATTAATTAGAACCAGAGTGACTCGATCTGCCCTCTCCGATGTGCACTCAAGTGTTTGTTTGGCATTGTGTGGGCCCTATGGCTCAAATACTTTTTGCAGATGCATAAGAATTAACCATACATGTTTAGATGTGCTTGGGGAACACATACATTCATAGAGACGTATACAGCTGACCCTGTCACTTTCTTGTTAAGCACTGTAAAAGGTATCAGCTTTCCCCTCTAGATTTTAAAATTACTTAGAATATGGAATAGTGGGGAAATACCTAAAACATCCTGTCAAATTAAGTGTTTTCTCCAAGACACACAATTATTTCAACTAAGAAGATGCCTGTGCAATGTATTAAAGAACAGAACGAACAACGAAACTACAAACTGACTTAAATGGATGTCCAATATACTGCATTTTTACATTTGATTTCAATTTTCTTTCCCCTTCCCCCTGTTCTTTTTCCATCCCCATGTAACAGTTTTTCTCTCCGCTTAGTCTGTATCACATTTTTCTCTCTAATTCACTGGGTTCACTTTCCTGCTTGTATTTTTCCAGAGTCTCACTTAGTAGGAATAATCAAGACAGGGTCAGATCTTTGAACCTGTTATTTGGAGCAGGATTAAGTTCAAGCTTGTTCCACTGAACAAAAGCACTGGCTTCTTTTCCTTTCCAACAGACTCAGTTGCAAAATGGAGGAAGGTTCATAGGGCACATCTACCAGGCAGAAATGCCAAGGACATCAGGCCTCTTCATTGCCTACAAGTTTTGGGTTCCTCCTGCTGTTCACAAAGCAACGACAGCGATACCAGCCACAGCACAAACTCCTTCTGCCCAAGCACTTCCAAACCATCTGACAGCCTGGTCATGACAAGCTGCTTGCTGTATATGGACTGGGAAGGCTGCAAAACCTGGATGTCAGAACTTGGATCCTGAAGTGTCCCTGCAGAACTGAGCTTCTGTGAACACCGTCTGCACCATGTCCCTCCATGGTACTGCTAACGTAAGGCATCCCTGACACCCAGCAGCTAACAGGCAATAGGCTTGGCTCCCTCGCTTTCCCCCATCATGGGCTCAGGACCCAGGTATAATGCTTACTTTGTTCAGTTAAGTTATTCAGGAATAGTAAGGAGGAGATGTGAGTGAAGTCGGAATTTTGCCTGGCATTTTCATAATTGCAGGAATCCAGCTTTTATAGCATTAAAACCATATGAATTTAAATAAATCCTACTTCTCCCTCATCCCAGTGAGTAACTGGACTTAGACCACTGCCGCCCTTTGGAGTCCTGCTGGGTTTTCAGCACACAGTGCAGCCCATCCTGCTGGGGCTGTCAGAGAATCAGATTTCCTCCGGCTTCACTCTACAATGGATCTGACTTCTTAGATAAACCCACTACCACAAAATAACTGTGGATAAACACCTCTTATACACTAACTGCCCACCATAACAGTAATGTCATCTTCCTCCCTGTCATACTCTTCTTCACTTAATTTCACAGGGTGTGACACTCACTAGTCAGAAGGGGAATAGCAGAACCAGAAGTAAATCCTACATCCCTTATCCTATTCCTCTGGGCTGGCATTGACACTGTTGTGTGTTTGCATTTCCACTGAATTTTAAAGGCATTTCTTTTCGTTATGGTAACTCACTGGAAGAGGAAGTTTTTGACATTTTCATGGATTTTATGTAGCTCTGGTAAGTCTACAGCTTTACCTTGAGGAACAGCAGGTCTGCAATCTTAGATACTGCTTAGATACTGCTGGATATGAATACCAGACAAATATACAGTAAGTCCAGCTTAAGTCTGTAGTGTTTGAGAAGGTTTGTTCTGGCTTTTAGATGGTAACTGATCTCTTAACACATCTGTGCATCCCTAGGGTAGAGAGGCACACAGCCATCAACACAGCAAGCAGTGTCCTTTCAGAGGTCCCATCTTCAACCCAAACCCAGCTTTTCTGCTGACTCTATCAACTCTTCTCCCTGACAGGTGGAGTGCAAGGAAAAGCCATGGCATGGATGGGTCTCTGCTGCTTCCATAGCCTGAGCAGTGGGGGAATGACTTGCTCCTGCCTCCAACAGCTCCAGACCTTGGAGAAGGACTTTTTACAAAGGCAAGTAGTAACAGGACAAGGGGGGAATGGCTTTAAATGGAAAGAGAATGGCTTTAAATTGAAATATTTTAGATTTGGATTAGAAAGAAATTCTTTACTATGAAGATGCTGAGGCGCTGGCACAGGGTACCCAGAGAAGCTGTGGCTGCCCCATCCCTGGCAGTGCTCAAGGCCAGGTTGGACACAGGGGTTTGGAACAACCTGCTCTAGTGGAAGGTGTCCCTGCCCGTGGCAGGGGGTTGGAACTGGATGAGCTTTAAGGTCCCTTCCAACCCAAACCATTCTATGAGTCTATGAAACCTCATGTGCACAAGGGTCCAACCTCCCTAAGGGGTCAGTGCTGGCTGTACCAGTGTAGGGAACAATTCAATTCACTCTGAAGACGGAAACAACTACATTTTGTCAGCTGAGTAGTGCTGTAAGTTGGGAGTCTGAGTGTGGAGCTGGCCGCCATCCTGCTCGATAGGGAAAATGCACTTGCTGAAGGTAAAAATCTGTATCAAGAAAGGCAATTTAGGGAGCACAGGTGCTTTACTCTCCACTGCTGTGTTTACGGAATCCGGCTCACCCTGGGCATGAGCCCACTCAGCACTTTTTACAGTGTCTGCAAGTGCAGTCAGCCCTGCGAGTATAACATAAACCACGCTCTTCACCCACCCCAAACAGCAGGGTAGAAGTGCTACTGTGTATTGAATTTTCTCTGTCCGAACCAGACAACTTATTTTTCAGCTGAGTGAACATAAAGAGTTTTGTAGAGCTGTGTTAAAGTGCATTTTCAGATGTAGAGGAATTCCCTTTACCTGAGGGTACTCAGTGCATTTTCCCTTATCTATTTGATGGGAGCCAGATATAGATATTTTTGGTGTGCAATAGACAACATGCCATGAGGAGTCATATAGCTAAAGGCTCCAAGGAGCCAGTCCTCGCAACATCTGGCTAGGATAACCCTGGATA